GGACAATTTTCTCAGTGGTTTTGTTTTTCTCTTCCTGTTCTGGAATTCCAATGACACATAATTTACTCCTTTTGATGGTATCCCACATGACCCTTAGGCTTTCTTCATTTTGTTTTGATTTTTTTTCTGATTGATCCTTTTGCAAAGAAGTATTCAGGTATTTGTCTTCAATCTCAGTATTTCTGTCTTCCTTCGCATCAATTCTTCTCCCTTGCCCTTCCAATGTGTTATCTATTTCTAACAATTTAATATTAATCTTCTGGATTTCTATCTGTAGATTTAGAAACATAGCTAATTTTTCATTTATTTTGTCATTTTCTTCTTGTATTTTCTTCCAAAATTCTTCAAAGGTTTTTTTTTGTGTGTGTGTGTTTTCTTGGATCTGTCTCTCAATCCTTTGAAGATACACAAAGATAATTCTTTTGAATTCTTTATCAGAGAGTTCCAATGCTGCTTCTTCCTCAGGGATGTGTTCTGGGTCTGTATTCTGCTTGCTTGTTTCTACCACTTTCTCTTGCTTCTTTGTGTGGACTGTGATGTCTGTTGTTTTCGAGGCATTGTGGCATTGTATTTAAATCTCTGTTAACTGTTTGTGAAGAGCAGCCAAGGGTGATTCAGGCTCTTCTTGGTGGTTTCTTATCATTGGCCTGCTGGTGGAGAAGGAGGTAGTGGCTCTCACTCAGTAAGTGAAGTTGCAGGAGGTGTGGGTGTAGTTGTGTCTTGTGGGGACTGTTGTTGTCTCCTACTCAGACACAAATTAAAATTGAATAACCATCAAAATACCTTGTCAGTCTTGCAGGTCCTGAGTGTCATTGGGGTTGCTGGAAAGCAGAACGTGTTCTTAAGCCCCAGGAATCTGTGAGAGCACTGTCTCTTTATATATCCAAAATATTCAAGCCACTGTTTAAAACTTCAAAATGGTGGCATCCTCTGGACTGGCAAAAGTCCACAGCTCAGCCCACCTTTCTCTTCACCTTCTCCGTTTGTTCCCCAGTGACCATGCACAGTCCTCCGTGCAGTCCCTGGCTAGCAGGGTGAATTTTAGGTTAATTCTTAGGTCCTACCACCACTCAGGAATCTCCAAGCTGTCTGTGTTGTCAGGATCGCTCAGGATCATTGCTAGACTGCAGCTCCATCTGTCTCCTTTTTTGGTATTTTCATGCAAATTTTTCTGCTAGTTGGGGTTTAGTCCACTTCTATACTCTTCCCTTCAAGGCTCAGGGGTCCAGGATTATCTTCTGTGTCTGTGTTAATTAGTTTCCCTTTTCTTTGTTGAAGAAGGTCTGTGAAGTCTTTCTGCCTAGTCCACCATCTTGCTGGCCACCCCAAAACTGCCTTTAAATTTCTTATCCCAACTTTTTCTCTTAGCCAAGGTGGAGGAAGAGCTACCAGATTTATCCTCCCATGTGAAACAACTTAAAAAAAAAAAAAAAAAAAGATAAAATATATGGAATAATTTTCAAGACATTGCATTTTAGGAAACAAAAGATTGTGACACTTGGAAGATGTGAGAAAAATGAGGAAATCCCTCTGTGTCTCAGCTTATTGCCTGGAGACTATCCATCCTGTGCCATAGTGATAGAGAGTTGTAAAGGAGCTACAGTCCTCCTGAATTTTGGAAAAAGATCTGGAGGTACAGGGAGGCTGAGGCACCTAGAGTTGACAGAGCAGAGTACCAGTGGTAACAGAGCTGCATAAAAAGAGTACCTCAGAAATGTACAGAAGGTTTCCCTCAAATATTCATCTTAGTACTAAGCAGCACATAGGTGTGAGAAAGTTGCCTGAGGCTGGGGTAAAAAAAAAACAAACAAAACATCTGAAAGATCAGAGGGCCAGTCTCTGTAGTTCACATAGAGCTTTGAAGAATTCCTGTACCCACTAGCCAGAATTGAAAACTGTGTAATTCACAAGACATCAAGTAGAATGGACAGAAAGGTTTTCCCTCAGTAGTGCAGCAGCACTGCATGCTGATCTGGTCCCAACTAATATAACATAAAAGCAAGATGTAAAAGGATCAAATTGTTTCCAACTTAACTAAGTCCTAGAACAAAATTTAGAAATATTAATAGAATACGGAACTATTCAGCATCCAATAGAATAATATTTATAACATCTGTCATCAAATAAAAATATAAGGAATTGAAAAAAGCAGAATATATCCATAATAATGAGAAAAATAAATCTATCAAAATCAATGCAGAAATTACAGAGATGATAGAATTAGTAAGCAAGGGCTTTAAACCAGTAATTATAGCCATATGTCAACTATTCAAAAAGGTAGCTTAAAGATTGAAGATGTTAAATAGAGGCACAGAAGGTAGCACTTTTAGAGATGAGAAGTATGATACATGAATTTAAAGATACCCTGGATTGGATTGATGGCAAATTAGACACTACAGAATAAAATACTGGTGAAATTGAAGAAAGAACAATAAAAACTGTTCAAAATTAAACACACAAAAAAATTAAGAGTGAAAAAAGAGAGATAGCATCAGTAAGATGTGGGACATCAAATGACCTAATAAATGTGTAATAAATGTGAAGGGGGAGGGAACAAAAAATGTTTGGAGAAATAATGGCTGGAAATTTCCAAATTTGATAAAAACTATAAACTTACAGATTCAAGAATCTCAATGAACTCCAAGTGCAAGAAATATGAAGAAATCGAGACCAAGGAACATCATAATCAAATTGCTTAAAAGTAGTGATAACAAGAAAATCTTAAAAGGAACCAGAGAAAAAAGATAAATTATGCACAGATAAACAAAGGTAAAAATGACAAGCAGATTTCCCATTAGAAACAATGCAAGTGAGAGGACAGTGGATAAACAAATTTAACCTCTGTTGCTTGGTGTCACCTTCTGTGAACAAGGGATAGTAACCTGGGGCATTGTGAGCATTATTAGGATCATTTGTGTTGAAAGGTTTAAATAAGACCAAACATGTGAGCATTGCTCAGTAAATCAAAACTGTTAATGGTGTTATTATATCTATTATCATATAACTTGCTATATTTTCTCAATTTTATACTCTTAAGCATTTCATAATTTTAGGATTGCTTCTATATCTGTGAAGAGTTTAAAATAAGGTTATATTACATCACTTCTGAAAAGGATGCGTTAATTTTCATTTTCTTAGTGTAATACAAGTTTTTTTAAATTGAGATTTAATCTATATAGCATAAAGTTAACCACTTCCAAGCCTACAGTATCATTCAGTACATTCACAATGTTATACTATCAGCATCTCTACCTAGTCCTAAAATACTTTTGTCTCAAAAAAGAAACCCTAAACCTACCAAGCAGTCAGTCCCTGTTCTCTGCCTTCACCCTGACAAACACTAATCTGTTTTCTGTCTCTATTTATTTACTTTTTCAGGATATTTCATATAAATGGAAGCATACAATATGTAACCATTTGTTTCTAACTTTTTTCATTTAACATAATGCTTTCAAGGTTCATCCACATTGTAGCATGAATCAGTCCTTCATTCATAATAATAGTATATGAATATACCACTATTTGTTTATCCATTGACTCGTTCACGGACACTTGAGTTGTTTCTACCTTTTGGCCACTGTGAATTATAATTCTGTGAATATTTGTGTGTAAGTATTTATTTATCTGTTTTTGATTCTTTTCGATATATAGCTAGGAGTAGAATTGTTGGGAAATAAATCCTAAAATTTTAAAGTTAAAATATTAAGCTCTGGATTTCAGTATTAACCCTAAAGCTTTCCCTGACAAAATGCACATGTGTGTGAGTGTATGTGTGTTTGTGCAATTGTATCCATGGGTGTGAATGGGTGTGTGACTATCTGTGAATACACCATAGTAAATGTCCATGAAAGTGTGTGCATATGAATGTTTTTATATGTGAATATGTGAATGTATAAACTCGTGTGTGTGTGCGTGTGTGTGTGAGAATACCATGTCCTCTGGCAAAAGCCAAACCTGGGAGGCTATGGCCCACGCCCCTTCCAGAGCTAGCTGTGCCATGTTGCTTACCTCCATGTTTCTGCAGAAGGTGGCGTTGGTGCCAAACAGGATTTGGCACTGCTCATTGGCGCTGTAGTGCATGCCCGGCAGCTTGTGAGGGAGGCGCACTGCATGCTGGCTCCTGGGGTCTGTGACCAGCAAACAGGTACTGACTTTTGACCTGAAATAGCCAAGAGGCAAATGAACATGGAAAGGTTCTGTCTAGGTTTTTGTTTAGATTTTTCAACAAGTGCTATGGAAGTACCTCCAAATCATTTATGGGAAGAAGATCAAAGCATGAGGCACATGGAGTGCACTTACAGAGACTCTGACTTTTTCCACCAGCAGAATGAAGATCTTTACTCTAAAAGTGATGGGAACATGGAAATTAGTAAGAAGGCTGAGAATAAATAAGACTCACGAGGCTAGCATACTTTGCTCTAGGATTTTGAGAGCTTGCTTTGATAGAAATGCTTTTAAAATGGGTTACTATGATATTTTCTTAGTACATGACTTTGAACAAAAGTTATTCTAAATAAGAAAAAGAACACACTAAGGTTGTTTGATTTTGTTTTAAATAAAAGTGAAGTGCTTATTTCCAACTCAGGATCAGATCAACTTCTCTTTGGTGGTCCTTTGGGCCTTGTGAGCCTGACACACCAGGTTTCCCATCTGACTATACTGCCCACCATCATGAAAACCAGCTGGATGTGGCACTCTGTAAAGGATTTAACTAGGATGAGAATGTTCATTTACAATTATGAAAACCCCTCCCAACAACAGCTTGGAACTGTGAAATTGTGGCTCCATTAGGAGGTTAAATAGTTAGATGTTTTACTTTATTTTTCAATACATAAAGCAAGGCCTGACTGCTGGAAATGGCTGGATATGGGCCCAATACTCCAGCACCATTCATTTTCAGGGTTAGTTGATTCAGCATGTGAGTCATTACACTCTCCTTAGCACATTCTGACTTCAATGGCCACCAACCTGCTTCCATAGCCACCACTCATCTGTCTGTTATACTGTGTTGGCTTCTATGTTTGGTGATGCTGGAAGTCATGCCATAAATATTTCAAATATAAGCAAGGTCATCCATGACGGACAGGTTTCAGTGTAGCTTCTAAATTGAGACAGACTTGGAAGGAGGACATGGCCAGGTCCACTTCAGAAAAAAATGGTCACTGAAAACTTGATGAATACCAAGGAAACATTATCTTATAAAGTGACAGAAGATGAATCCCTCAGGCTGGAAGGCACTTAAAATATAACTGGTGGAGAGCTGCCTCCTCATAGTAGAGTTGACTTTAATGATATGGGTGGGGTGAAGCTTTCTAGACCTTCATTTTCTGATGTGGCATGACTCAAGATAAGAAGAAACACTACAACCATCCATTAATAATTAGAACATGGAATGTATGAAATATCAATCAAGGAAAATTGGAAGTTACAAAAAATGAAATAAAAAACATAAAGATTGATACATAGGTAGTAGTGAGTTTAAACAGACTTGTTTTGAATCAGATAAATCATGTGGTCTACTATGCCAGAAATGGCAAATTGAAGAGAAATGATGTCACATCATCCAAAAGTATATTTCAAGGTCTGTCTTGAAGTACAATGCAGTCAGTGATAGGATAATGTCTATAAGCATACAAGGAAGACCAGTTAATACTACCATTATTCAATTTTCCACACGAACTACTAAAGCCAAACATGAAGAAATGGAAGATTTTCACCAAATTCTGCAGTCTGAATTTGATCAGACATGTAATCAAGATGTATTGGTAATTATTGGTGATTGGAATGCGAAAGTTGGAAACAAAGAAGAATCATTGGTAGTTGGAAAATATGGTATTGGTGACAGAAATGATGCCAGAGATCTCATGATAGAATTTCACAAGACCAAAGACCTTCATTTGAACAACATCAATGGAGACTGTACACATGGACCTTGACAAGATGGGATACACAAGAATCAAATCAACAAATCAACTCTATCTGTGGAAAAAGGTCATTATCATCACTCCAAACAAGGGCAGGGGCTAACTGTGGAACAGACCATCAGCTGCTCATATGCACATTCAAGTTGAAGCTGAAGAAAATTAAAACAAGTCTATGAGAGCCAAAACATGATCTAAAGTATATTGCACCAGAATTTAGAGACCATCTCGAGAACAGATTTGACACATTGGATGCCAGTAAGTGAAGATCAGATGAGTTGTGGGATGACATCAAGGACAACATATATAAAGAAAGCAAATGGTCATTAAAAAGGAAAGGAAGAAAGGACCAAGATGGATGTGTGGTGTAGTAAATTACATAGTGTGGTTTTTCTAGCCATAGTCTTTGTAAACTCCATGGTGGAATTTGCTGTGAACAACTGGGTAGCTGCTGATTCTTAAAGTTATTCACCGGGGGTATTTCAGTTGGGAGCAGCACTAAGTAATTTTCTGGGAAGTTTGCTCTCTCTCAGGTGTACAGAATTCTGATGTTGGGATTGGTTAGTTTGGCCACTCTGCCAGGCTCAAAAGGCAACCTTCTAGAGGCACAAGGAGTCTCTCTGACTGCTGGCTGAGAAAGACATGCTGCTGAGAGAAACATGCTCCTGAGAGAGGTGAGAGACACACACTGTTGAGAGAGACATGAGAGACATGCACTGCTGAGAGAGTGATGTGCTACTGAGACTGCCAGCTGCTGAGTCAACTTGAATTGTAGTCTAGTGCTTCTGTAATATACCCCATAATCTGTGAGTTCTGTGTGGCCACTGCAGTGAATTATTGAACCCAGCAGAGAGGTGGTGGGTGCTGCAGGAGGAATGGTTGGTAAAAGGGCTAGAGGGAGGCAGCATGTCTGGTCTTGCAGGAATAGGCCTTGGGCTACTGATAGTGATTCTATCTTCCTCTTGTGGGGTTAGAGGAGGTCAGAAGATGCTACCTCCTTGCCCCTTTGCCAGGATGTCTCTAAAAACTGTTCTTGAATGGAGAGTAGCTAAAGCAAATGGAAGAAATGATGAAGTAAAAGAGCTGAACAGAAGATTTCAAAGGACAGCACAAGAAGACAAAGTATTATAATGAAATGTGCAAAGATCTGGACTTAGAAAATCAAAAGGGAAGTATATGCTCAGCATTTCTCAAGCTGAAAGAACTGTAAAAATCTCATAGTCTTGAGAAACAACATTAAAGGAGTCTATGAGGAAAATAAAGAGCTCTGATGATGCTGTGGTTAAGGCATTTGGCTTCTAACCAAAAGGCTATCGTTCAAATCCACCAGCCACTTCATGGCAGAAAGATGGGGCAGTCTGCTTCCTTAAAGATTTGTAGCCTCGGAAACCCAATGGGAGTCACTATAAGTTGGAAATGACTCAATGGCACTGAGTTTTTTTTTTTTTTTTTAATGAGCACAATAGTGAGCAATGCAGAAAGCATCAAAAGAAAATAGAGGGAATATACAGTCACAGTACCAAAAAAAGTCAGTCAAAATTCAACTGTTTCTGGAATTAGCATGGTAAATAACCAATGGTACAGAAGGAAGAAGTCCGAGCTTCACTGAAGGAATTAGTGAAAAACAAGGCTCCAGGAATTGATGGAATACTCATTGAGATGTTTCAACAAACAAATGCAGTGATGAAGACACTCACTCATTTATGCCAAGAAATTTGTGTCCATTCCCAAGAAAGGTGATCCAACAGAATGGAGAAATTACTGAGCAACAGTACTAATACCACACACAAGTAAAATTTTGCTGAACAATATTTAAAAATGGTTGCAGCAGTATATTGACAGAGAACTGTCAGAAATTCAAGCCAAATTCAGAAGAGGATGTGGAATGAGGAATATAAATTGCTGATGTCAGATGGTGCTTGGCTGAAAGCAAAGTATACCAGAAAGATGTTTATCTGTGTTTTATTGACAATGCAAAGGCATTAAACTATGTAGATCATAACAAATTACTGATAACATTGTGAAGAATAGGAATTCCAGAACAACTAATTGTGTTCACGAGGAACCTGTAAATAGATCAAGAGGCAGTCATTCAAACAGAACGAGGGATACTGCATGGTTTAAAATCAGGAATGGTTTATGTCAGAGTTATATCCATTCATACTTATCAAATCTGTATGTTAAGCAAATAATCTGAAAGTTGGACTACATGAAGAAAAACACCACATCAGGATTAAAGGAAGACTCATTAATAACATGCAATATGCAGATGACACACTCTTGCTTGCTGAAAATGAAGAAGACTTAAAGCACTACTGGTGAAGCTCAGAAACTATAGCATTCGGTATGGATTGGACCTCAATATAAAGAAAATTGGACCAATAAACAAGATCATGATAAATGGAGAAAAGATTGAAGTTGTCAAGAATTTCACTTTGTTTGGGTCCACAATCAATGTCCATGGAAGCAGCAGTAAGAAATCAAGCAATGTGCTGCATTGGACAAATCTGTTCAAAAGACCTCTTCAAAGTGTTAAAGAGTAAAGATGTCAGTCACTTTGAAGACAAAAATGCATCTGATTCAAGCCACAGTATTTTCAATAGCGTCATATGCATGTGAGAACTGGACAATGAATACAGAGGACCACAGAAGAAATGTTGCATTTGGATTTTGGTGTTGGCGGAAGAATATTGAATGTACCATGGACTGCTAGAAGAATGAACAAATCTGTGTTGAAGGATGTAGAGCCAGAATGCTCTTCAGAAGGGATAATGACCAGAGATCTTCTCTCTTATTTTGGTCATATTGTCAGAATGGACCAATCCCTGAAGAAGGATATTGTGCTTGGTAAAGAGAGGGTTGGTGAAAAAGGGAAAAACACCTCAATGAGATGGGTTGACACAGTGGCTTCAATGATGGGCTCAAGCATGGCAATGATTGTGAGGATGGCACAGTGTTTCATTCTGTTGCACACAGGGTCACTAATGGTTGGAACTAACTCAACAACACTTAACAATGACAAAGCAAGGTCAAACCAATCCCACTGCTTTCAAGTTGATTCTGACTCAGTAAGCCTGTAAGACAGTAGAAATGTCCCATAAGGTTTCCAGGGCTATAAATCTTTACACACACACACACACACACACACACACACACAAAAGCCAGGAATCTGGACAGAGGCGCAGTCAGCCACAGGGATCCAGGTGAGGAGAGAGAACCCAGGGACACCCAAAGCAGC